CGTCAGCTGCGTTGGGTCGTCCGCAGATAAGCATTACACCCTTGATTTGACGACTCTAAAACTTGGCTCCTATGTCCGCTTTTTATCTCAAAATTTCGTTGAATATTTGGTGTGATTGGAGGGAACATATGATTTTCAATTGTGTGTGATAAAAATGCTTTGCGAGTGGATTATGAGATTAGAATAATGTTGAAGCAATTCCTTAGCTGTGTTGAAGTAACAGCTGTGCAATTAGGTGCCGTTCTCTTAGCGCTCCATTCATGGTCCTTATCCTACAAAAAAAGTGTACTATCGAATTTCTGACTTTGGTGGTTTGGACATTTTTTGGGCCTAGATAAAGAGAGTGTGGTTGTCTGTTCGGAATGAGTTTGTCAATGAATTTGTCGTTCAAAAGAGCTGTAGCACTAGAACGTTGAAGATAAGACAGTCGTTGTTTTGAGAGCATTTGTGGCTCCTGTTTTCTTCCATGATGAAGTGACATAAGGAAGCTCTGGATGGGGCTTGTACGCTAATTACTCTGCTGTAACTACTGTCTAAGTAATTGTGTATTTTTTCTGTGCCATAAAGGTTTGCTGGTTCTTTCATTGGTCAGCAGTTAACATTTACTCCTTATTGGTCAATGGTTAACGCTGTCCAATAGAGTAGTTGCACCATAACAAGTCTTTACGGCACAAAAAAAACACCATTTTACATGCCGAGAGCTGAGGAAGGTCTAATACGTGTTACATATACATTAGCTTTCCTTAGTTTTATTTCAGGATTTGCTGCGTAGATTCGATATTTTGTGCACTCCTTTGTCCCACGTTTTCCAATCTCTCTTGTCCCGAAATCGTATTGAAAAGGAAACGAGATTCCTCCGTCGGGGACGTGGCGTCTCGATCGCAAAGTGCTGCTTCCGGGTATTCATACACTATGGCTGCCGATGCATTTCAACTACTATGCTCGCCATTCACTCCCGAAATAGCGCCATTCTAAGCTGTTCCTGTCTATTTTAGCACAGTGGTTCTTATTCGTACAAACGCCTCAACATACTCTTGAGTTTTCGTTTTTTTTTTGGTTTTTCGATGCTGCTTGGGCGATTCTGCATGTAACCATAAAGCCTCAGAATGTGCACCTAACAATAAATTGTGCCTTCGAACATTTCCACATTTATTCCCAAAAATCTTCTTCCAAATATTCTCTCATAAATACTCTTTCATAACTTCCATTTTCGTCAAAAAGGGATCACTTTTGAAAGTCCAAATGAAGTCTAATTACTGCACCTACATTACACTTGGCTGCATCTTTCTTGCCCTGATCGTAGCCCTTAAAACTTTCCCATCTGCCTTTTTTGCCTTGATTGTCACACCAGAAGCATTCGCATTACGTATGCCTGCAACTTTTTCATGTTTAAGTGGTGACATTGGGTATACCATACGATATGCCATCAGCATTCTTCGCTACTCTCAGCTTTTTCAAAAGAAGTATGATTTGAGAAGAGCTTTCGATGAAAGAAGCGTATGTTTTGGAAGAGTTTCAAAGGGAACGCTCTTGATCGTTAATTTCTGCCAATTTACGATTCGGAAGATAGCCAGGCCTCTCAGCCTTCAAGTTTACTACAACGATGATGAGAAATTTTCAGATCAACTCAAGCTTGGATGAGGCCGTCTTCGTCTTTCGGATGGATCCATCTCATAGTAGTTCTTTACCTTTGTGAACCTGTTCTCTCTGTCGGTTTTGCTGAGGAACTATACTGTGGCTTAGAAAATTGCTACGATGGTGGGTCGCAAGTGCTCTTTTCTTATTTTTTTTGCTCGCTTTTGAAATCCTCTAATATTCTTGTTGCAAACGAGTCGCTCCCATCATGACGATCATCTCATGGAGAGTGTTATAGCTTAGTTTCAAGCGTGCAAAAGAAGGAAACGGCGACAATAGTGGGGTTAGATGGCTTTTGTGGGAAACTTTTGCATCACATTTGTGTTGCGTTAAAGGATTCCTTCACTTATTTTGCATTGAATAAACTGATGTTCTCCAATTTCGAGAGCCGTAGAAGTTCTAAACTAAATGCGAGAGGAATCAGTCGCGTCTTCCCTGTCCTACGATCATTTATGAAAGCCTCAATGTCGTATGCCCGTCTCCTTTTAGCAAGAATGGGAAGGTTGATCTTCATTGTTCGCGCGTAGCAGCGCTTGCGCGTGGGGAGATACTATAGCTGTTACAACTGCAAGTGGCGAACTAGTCTTTTCCTACCGTGAAAAGATCGGCATGTGATGTCATATCTATCTCATGGACAGGTAATTGGGTACATTACTGGGAAAAAGCATCTTCCTAACTTCATTTTTAAATTATCTGTTTTTTCTCTTCTTCATTATTAGAAGGAATTGTGTTTCAGTGTTGGAGATAAATCGAGATGAGTTTGACAAAGCCAAGTTGTCGAAAATCTACCGCTCTCTAGCAAAAAAGTTCCATCCAGATAGAGTGAAAGATCAGGTATTTGTTTTTTATAGTATTTTTTATTTTATTTCATAGAGTATACTGTTTTTCATGATTGCACTTTTGGTTTTAAGTAACAGTTCGGCGTAGAGCGCATCATGAGAGTTTCAAATATTCATATTTAATCGTTTTTCCTCCCAGCAGCTTAAAATATCTTGCCAGTTAGTTACCCATTCGTTTCCGCTCTCACAACACTCTCTGTCTTCTAATTTTTCTCGATTTCCTCCTGTCCAGGATTTTAGCGTATTGAATCTTGTGATCTAGGTGGGCATAAAGATTCGTTACCTTCGGTTTTCAGCGTGCAAAATTTGATAAGATAAAGTTGATAATGTTCTGTGCACTGATGTAATCGTGCGGAATTTTTCCGGCTGCAAAAGTAGAAGCTGAAGCTCGATTCCGAGTGATCGCGACAGCTTATGAGACGCTGAAGGATGATCAAACACGCTCCGATTATGATTACTATTTGGATCATCCGGAAGAGAGGTAAATCTTATTTTTCTCTGGTACCTTTTATTTTTCGCTGTTGGTCCTTCATATCATCTTTTCTCGTTGATCCAGCCTGATTGGTACATTATTTTATAGATTCTACAACTACTATCAGTATTATCGACGGCGGGTGGTTCCCAAAGTGGACGTACGACTAGTCATTTTAGGAACAATTTTATCCATTTCACTGTTCCAGGTAAGCGGAGATGTATTATAATTTTTTACGCACTTTACTCTTTGCATTTTCAAGGTATTTTTCTTTATTAATAATCTTTTCAATTTCAGTACTTTAGTGCGAAACAAAAATACTCAGAAGCTATTTCCTATGCTGTTACTGTCGGAAAGTTTCGTAATATGGCCATCAATGCTGGAGTAGAAAGAGGGGTATGTTTTGTAATTCACTTGTAGTTCCTTTCCCAGACTTCCAACTGTCTACCCATTTGCTCCGATCACACCTCCGTTGCTTCGATTTCTAAAGTTATTTCTTGCTTCCGTTTCCTTGTCTTTGACGTCTTTGTTTTCTAGGGAACGTGGCCTTTGTTTTCATTCAGTCCCTTCCTCTTCGAATGCACTCTTGTAATCACCTTATGTCTCCATTTCTCGACTTCGAAGCAGTTCTTTGACGCAAGGTCATTAGCAATATTTATTCAGGTACTCGAAGTAGATAGTAAAGGAAAATTGAAAAAGATTAAAGGACAAAACAATGAAGATGTTATAAGAAGTATCATAGAAGAAAATATGGACGTCAGGTTTGTGCCTTACAAGTAACTCGAATTTGACTCTTGTTATAGTGATGACTGATGTTGAATATGTACTGTTTCAGGGGTGGCTACAAAAAGGAGTCCGTGTACGACACTCTAGCATGGCATTGTATAGCATTTCCATACGTGGTATTTGTTTATCTGTGTTGGTACGCAAAATGGGTACTCAAGTACTGGATAAAACGGGAAGAGTATGATGAAGAAGCAAAATTACATCTTATAAGGAAAAATCTTGGCATGAGTCAAAACCAATTCAATGTGAGTTCTTGTGCTGTTTTTATTTTCAAAGACGTGCGGCAGCAGAAGTCGCAAGACTAGCTGGCTCTGCTATATGTCTAGTTGTCTATGTAAAAATCTTCAGTGCATGACTGATGATGAGCACGAGGACATGCTGGCACGTGAGCTTTGGATACAAGAAAATTTCAAAAAGTGGAAGGCTGAAAGGGACGCTGAAGAGCAAGAGAGGCTCGTTCAAAGTGGAAGGTTCGTCATTTACTGAATTCTTACTAATTTGCATATTTTCTTTTGAAAAGCAAAGTTTTACAGATACAAACGCTATAAACGATTTATGAAAAACAACGCTGGAACTATATCGTTTCTTGATGAGGACTGATTGGATGCAATGTGATTTCTCAGAGATTTTTATTTGACAGAGTGTTATACAAAGGGCTTGGGTGGCTTAGCTGTGGTTGATTATCTGTTCATAACTGAGGTGCTACTGGTAATTTGGTGTTTTGGTAATTATGTGTTGTTATTCATTTCCCCCATAGAAGCATCTGTTGTTATATGACGTTAAACGGATCTATTCAATGTTGTTATTAGGTCGTGAAGAAAGTTCTTGCGCTTTTTGGTGTTTCGTTTTTGAACGCTTTATTTTGTTACGAATTCAAGCAAGCGCCAATGAGCTGTGTGGTTTTGAAGAGCTTTTCTTGTTCTATCTAACAAGCTAGGTTCTTTTATTACTTAGTTGTCATTTTTTGAAGCCTTGAATACGGCATACTCCAAGAGCAAATTTGCATGATTTCCTTTTTCTAGCTCAAAGCAGGCCAGTATGGAGAGGAAGCAGGTCAAGATATTATAGACGCACTTGGCTGAGATTCGCAATAAATATGGTCTGAAGCAATTGTTCAAAAAGCTTTTGTAAGAATAGCGAGAGCCCTAAAGATTGTGAGGGTGGTGATCGGAGATTGGACAACGCCAACGATTAGTCGAGCGTTCTGGTTGAAGCACGTTTGCACAAATCTATTGAGAGGGTTCCTCCTAAACTAATCGCACTTGCATTGTGTTTTCTTGTTGTACGGGAAGAGCTGGAAAGTCCCAAAAATTCAAATAGGGCGTGCCGCGACAGCTCACCATTTTGAAGGGTCGTTCGCCGCGTTCTAGCTTGTTTCATGCCATGAAAAGGACCTGACTTTTTGATCATTTGCGACGCACGACAAAGAACGGATTCTTTGCTACAGAATACGAACCTTTGGTGAATGATCGACCGCGATCAGGCTCTACAAACTTTGCAAAAGTGAAACTTCACTGAAGGAAGGTTGAGGTGACTTTCATAAGGTCAGCGGCTGGTCTAGCTTTTCGTAACCAGGTGGATCTGTTAATGTGGAAAAAGTACTCCTGATAATGTGTAAAATTACTCCTAGAACTCTGGCACATATGCTCGAAATTCCTCATTATAAAGGAACCGGCTCGTCCCTGACAGGTAGCTCGGACGCACATTCCACAACCAACCCTGCAGAAGTTCGACAAGATTGGCTACGAATTAGTCCTGCGAACATCCTACTCGGTAGACCTTTTGCCTATAATTTGTCACTTTCTCGACTACCTGGATAGCTTCTCCAAAGAGTTATGCTTCAAAAACCAACATGATGCGGAAAACGACCTCCGCCGGGTTCATCGTCTCTAGAGCTCCAGTATTCTGCACTACCGGGCTGATTCAACGCAGCTATTATTTATAGTTAACTTGGTTTTCACCATGAGGCCGAAGAATACGGGCATCAAGTCATGGTCGAAACCGCAAGAAACTTCTTCACGACCCTATAATATGGTGAATGTGGTGGTAAGCAGTAACCAATACATAACACAGGACGGAGGACGAGGTGACAGCATCCTCAGAATATCGCATATTATGCTATTGGCCGTTACACATCCTTCAGGCTTTTATGACCCTCAGTTGCAAGTCGGGCTCGCTAGCGATTTGGTCGCAAAAGTATCTGCCTGGGATTGATCAACCCACCAGATTCGTAATTTCTGGTAATCCAGGTACTTCATGGTCCCAATTTGGGATTTAATTTATTCCATTCATTCTCCCAAGAATATTCAATCTTTGTATTGTATTGTATATATATTGCAAAAAAATGCTGTTTCTCTCAAAGCATTAACAAAAAATGAAGGCAAAGGATAAAGCATTCGACCTTGATCACATTGTTTCTGTACTGGGCCATGCATTCTACTTCCATTTCGAATCGCAGGGACACCATAATGCGATTGGACCATTACATAGCTGGCCTTTGCAACTTGTTGGTCAGGATAAATCGTAGTTTTGTACAAGTGATTATGTTCTCTTTCATTGTTGGAGTAGTTATCGCTATAGATCCTCCACTTCAAAATGTGAAGTTATTCCGTTAAACATTTTGACTAAGGGTTTCTCTAAAGTTGCTTCGTATTTCAATAGCGATGTCTAGCACCTGTTCAAACAGCCCGTATTGAGCAATCCTTTGTTGACACCAATAACACATGGTATTCTGAAAGGTAGCTCACACTTACAGAGTTCTCTAGCACTTTATAAACGGTTGGCTAGCCTTGGGCTTAGCCTACATTATTTTGAATCCATTCAGTCGAGGCTGCCAGTTCGTAATCTCCAAATAGCAGGGATTTTCTATCGTGTGGCGCTACGCACTTATTGGTATTGTGAAGCATCATCCACGCTTCATAAAAAGCTCAAGCTAGAAGCTCTCTGCTGTGATAGCCTCCTTCTGGAATCCGCCAAACGCATTCCTACTCCCATAAATGAACTTATGGCGGCCAGCGATGTTCATCTCAGCGTTTCTGTCCCCTATGCGATTCTGGTGCGAACTACTCTCGCCAGGAGGCAGGATGTAAGGCTTGGTTGGTCTGGGCTGGGTTCGATCCGGAATTTGACTCGGAAATAGTGCGGATGGGAAGTGATGCCACTTGTCGCTACAGTACTCGCCAGCGCGCTTTGATGACTTGTGCTCTGGCTGTACTAGCAAGAGTATGAATTAGCAGCTGCACAAGACACTCGATATTGTAGGAGTATAATCCTGACACGCTCAGAGTTGAAACAATCAATTCCATCTCAACGGACAGGCGATCAGCTGTGCAGCTGGCCACTGACGTGCTCTATTTGAATAGCGCATCGCGATCGCTCGTCGATGTTGCGATAACTAGCACTTTTTGTGGGGCGACCCAGTGCACTTGGAATTCCACAGCCGTCTGGGATCGCTCATTCTGCATGGCACTGACGAGTGAAAGGCACCTCCAGCATCGAGCATTCTGCCAATTGAAGGTGGTCGGCCCTCGATTCAGATAGAGGAAAGGAGGGTTAGAGTATGACCTGGAGTCGTATCCTATTCTTCCCCAGGCTAGGGGAAGAAAATATCCCTCTGATTTTCTTCGTCTTTCCAACCAGAATCGTCATAAGAAAAGGTCTCGTAAAAATGTATGTGTGTGTAGAAGTAAGCATGAAGTGTAAGAAACTGTATCGTTGAAACACAATGAATTCGAAGGGATCTTTTCTTCCCCTACCCGAGGGTAAGATACGGTCCTCGGGGACGAGGAATTTTTAGGGACCCACAGTTGATAGTCATATTAGCACTGCTTGGTAGACCAAATTTCCGCAACACCTGACTCATCATGGTCCCACATCTCTTGAATATTGTGGTAGGATTCCGCCCGCGGTTCTGTTGTTTAGCAGGCAAAAAAGATCTACGACAGAACGATGGCTCCAAAAATGCACACACAAAATGGTACCCCAAGGGCGTTCAATTGTCATGGCCGCCGCCATTTTCGATTTACAAAAATCAACAATACCTCGCTTCTGTTAGATTTTACAAACTTGAAGTCCTCATATGTTCGTATTAGATCTTGCAAGGTGCGATAGCAATCTCTTACATCGGCAAAAATGGTTCTGATTTTGGCAGAAGAAACTCCACCTGTGGAAGGTCTGAAAAAATAGGAAGAATCCTATCAAAATTCTGTCCACGGCCGAATGAAATGATAAGCAGATCGGTCTGAAGGACCATTCTGCTATCATGAACTGTTATTGTATCGTGTGCTAGACAGGATTCATTCAATGTTTATCGAAAGTCAAACCACCAGTTCAATGTTCATATTTAGCAGGATGTCGTCGTAGAATGCCACCATTTTTATGAAAACGTGGTGGTGATCCTCTTGAACTCATGAAACTGTATAAAATCCGATAAATTGAGATCGAAATTTAGCTACAAGGGTGACAAGACAAGCTGTCTGTCATTCGCACTACATCGTCATATGGTGGGGTAGTCCTTAGAGCAAGTTGGGAGCTGAGAGAAATTCATCCTGACAAAGTCGGCTTCCTGGTTACGGTATGCCACTGGAGAGTCCTTCATTGGTGAGCGGGATGGCAAATATTCCCCGGAAAAAGGTCTTTACTAACTAGACTGTCTATGTCTAGGTAGTGTTTTAAGGGACGAAGCTAGGTGTTTTCAGAAGCTTGGAAATTTTTAAAGAATTTCGCTACATGCATAGAAGGGTTAAGAAGTGCCAAGAAGTGTCATTTTCATACTCAGTGTTAGGAAGTTCGCGAAAAAGTGCTAGGGGTGGGCGATATGAACAACCAGAACAACGTTTAGAGCCAACCGACGCCTTGTTCCCTCCCCTCTATTAGACGGAGTCCCTCTATAGGACCCCATGTTTGCAAAATGCCGAAACTGCCATGGTTTGAGACACTCTAGCCGCCCCCGAAACCCTGCAAAATCAGATTCTTTCCAACCTTTTGAGCAAGACACGGCTTTTTCCATCCATATATCACAAATACAACCTTCGGGAAATCCCAGAGGACGGTTAACCCTGAGTCGGTCTTCCAATTTTCGCCAAGGCTCCCCTGAAAGAATTGGGATTACTGTACGCGACCCAAATTACTGTACAAACTCTCCCTGCCGCTTTTGCCCGCCTTGCCTGAATAGCGAACCGCGGCTACTGCAAGCACAGACTTTTTTCAAAGAATTTAGTGGTCCCTCACACCGGAGTCCCTCCTGAAATTCCAATCCCGAGTTCACCATTCGTTATTTCGTATACTGATGCTGTGACAGCTCGTGGACGTCCTTCATCCCACTCATGCTCGCGCCTTCCGGAGGGGGGGGGGAGGTTGCATCAGCCAAACCAAGAATTTTCGGGTCTATTCCAGTTAGGGGGGCATCATGGTGCGGTGACTCCCAAAAAGCTACACGGTAACTCTGAGCAGGGGGAGTGTAGCCAGCCTAGGGGGGGTGGGGGGGGGTGAGGGCAGTCACTTGACATGCGTGAG